CACTCGCGCACTTGACATATAATTAAAAGTCGTCTTTAAAACTGATTTAGGCTTAATGACGTACGTTTATAAAATTGCAAAAGGTTAGAGGAAGATCAAAGAAAAAGTCACTCGTTTTTTCCTCTATTTTTTCTTTTGCTTTTTTCCGTTAAGCTTTACAAACCATGGCGAGTGGTCACGACGAATGGGATGAATATGCTGGGAAATGTTGACGGCAGAAGATTTTCTTTCTTTTTACGATGGAATTAAAAGGGCAAAAGCGAAGTTGGCTGCAAGTCTTTTAGAATCTTTGACTCGATAATTTTCTTCAAAATAAGGGTTTCGCAAATATATTTTAATTATCTTGACGTATTCTAAATTACTTGATGATAGAGTTTAAGCTTCTTCTGAAACAGGAATGACTATATTTTGTAGTAAAGTTGATAATTTTTTTCTAAAAAGTCTTGTGATTATGGATTTTAAGACCCGGAAGAGAAAATTATGAATACAGTTAAATACAACATAAGATGCGAACCGTATTTAGAAGGAGTCTGCCTTAAAATACTGAAATTGCCAATACAAAAAAACATTTCGAAATACCTGTACTAAAAAGAGTTTCCTTTTGAAAACGCAAACGGTTTATTTGAAACATGAATTTTAATTTTTTACCGAATATTGGAACGCAAATTGACTTTTACCGTTTACTATGGAAGAATGGAATTTAAAATGACAAACAAAAAATGTAAAACAGATTTTTTAATAATTTCAACTAGTATTTCGCTTCCAAATATGAGAGTATGATTTTAATTTGAAAATTAAATTTTAATTCAAAAACGTCATTTCGTGATGTCCTACCATAAAAGAGATTTACATAATTCAAAAAGAATATGCTCTAAAGGACATTTTAGTCTTTTGAGTTGGTATTTAGATCCAATAGAAGCTTTTATAAAAATAATTTTAATTATATTAAAATACCGATTTGGAAATATTAAAAGTAAAGTAATCAAAAGTCTCTGATGTCTATATGTTCAGAAATATCTTATATCCAAACTCATAATGTTTTTATATAAATCTAATTGAAAGAAATATTAATCAAATGAAAATTTAGGATTTAAGATATATTTTTGTGCCTTTGAGTTAGTTCTTTACTCCAATATAAGATAATGAAAATGTAATTTTAATTTGGATAATTTATTAGAATTATTTTATGAGGTTTTAAGATGATAAAGATCTCTTTTCAATATAAATAGGTATATAGGTATTATAAATATAAGATATTTTTTCAAAAACAACCCCAATGAAATTTTTTGGATTTTTTAGATATCTTTATAAAAAAATTGGCGCCGGTAGTTCTTTTAGTTACAAAGTAAAGGAATTTTTCCAATTTTGGTCCGCGGTTATTTCCCCTATCGGCCACCTGGGGTCGCGTCCGATGGGAGTTTGGAGTTCTCTACACCAGGGCCGTTCCTGGCGAGCGTGCAGTGCGTGCACGCACGTGGGCGCAACATTTTGGGGGCGCAAAATCAAAGTGTCAATCAGTACTTTGTAATAAAAAACCTATACGCTTTCTTGTTAATAAACAAATACTTAAACATACATCATAGGATAAAGTTTGCTTAGCGTCTTTTTTGCGTTGACCGCACCGAATAAACAAGTCTAGGGCAATCTTTCGGCAACACATTGATCTCATCTATTTATTTTTCATTTTATTTATTTTATGGAAAGCACTGTTCATTAAAATGTTGTATCCTATGTTATAGGACTTGTTTCTCTCTACAATTTCCTGTCTGACAATGTACCGTTTGTGTCGGGGAAGGGATCATAGTTTCATAGTTGTCGATTTTCGACAGAAATCAGTACATGTATATTATTTCGTATATTTTTCATTTTATTGATTTTATGGAAAGCACTGTTCATTAAAATGTTGTATCCTATGTTATAGGGCTTGTTTCTCTCTACAATTTCCTGTCTCACAATGTACCGCTTGTGTCGGGGAAGGGATCATAGTTTCATAGTTGTCGATTTTCGACACAAATCAGTACATGTATATTATTTCGTATATATTTCATTTTATTGATTTTATGGAAAGCACTGTTCATTAAAATGTTCTATCCTATGTTATAGGGCTTGTTTCTCTCTACAATTTCCTGTCTCACAATGTACTGTTTGTGTCGGGGAAGAGATTTCGGTTTTTGGTTTGACGACAGGGGGGTGCCGAGGAATTTTTCGAAAAATTTTGGAAAATCGATTTTGCTTATTTCGTAATATGTTGTAGCGTTGAATGTGTACTTTACAAAACCGTATCGTTTTTGAGATTGACACTTTTTATTCCAGAGATATATGGTGTTAAATGTTTCGGAAAACAGAAAAAAATATTTCTTTTTTAGATTTTCTCAAATAACTCGAAATCTGTTAGAGATATCGGAAAATGGCTTTCGGCAATCAATTCTACATAAAATGAACTATAAGTGAGCATATTTTAGTTGCGATCCGAGAGATTTCGGTTTTTGACAAAATCGGCAGGACGGTGCCGAGGAATTTTTTCGAAAAATTTTGGAAAAATTTCGAAAATTGATTTTGCTTATTTCGTAATATGTTGTAGCGTTGAATGTGTACTTTACAAAACTGCATCGTTTTTGAGATTGACACTTTTTGTTCCAGAGATATATGGTGTTAAATGTTTCGGAAAACAGAAAAAAATATTTGTTTTGTAGTGAAATTAAAAAAAATTTTTTTTTGCCGATCTTAATAGCCTAGGTACCATACCTGTTGGTATGGTTGGCTAAAAAAGAATAAAACACAATTTACATACATTTTTTAACTAGTTTGGGTAATAATTTTTAGTAAGTATGTTAATTAAACTACTGAGTAAAAAAAATATACATTTCCGTCATTTTTACGTAAAAAAGATTTGTTGGTAAAATTCGCTACTTAATATTAGTTATATTTTAAAGCAAGATATTTTGATATGTATGATGTTCTGTTATAATTTTCATGTTCCTAGAAGAATACAGGTGTCTACATTAGAACAGTTATAGATTATTAGAATACTAGAACAGATATAATGAATGTCTACACTTTTATGGCGGGTTAGTTCCTTGAAAAAAGTCTGGGGTTTTTCAAGAAACAGAAAAAATATGATTTGCAATTTTCACAGTTTAAATCAGACACATCCATCATAAATAGAATTTACTAAATCTATACTATATATATATTACTATATTTTCTACATAGAAGATCTTTAACTAAATTGTTTTCCAAGTAATTTAATGTATATGAAACTTTAAAAAAGGAATCAGTAGGTGTTTATCAATTTTAGTTTTTAATATAAGTTCTAATAATTACTACACAAAAAATCTATATAGTTAACAAAAAATTACTTGTTGAAGTTTATCGGTGTAATATTGAATCATCCTGTGTACTTAGCTACTTACTTTAATATAAATAAGTGCAAATATTTAGAGCGCATGATTTTTTAAAAAATACGATATTTTTCTGAAAAAAATTGTAAAAAAGTGTTTAGTTAAAAAACATAATATCTACATAACATGGCAACATAGGCAGTAGATTGAATTTACAAGAAAGCCAGTAGTTCTCAAAATTTAAACAAAAAATATATATTTTATTAATTTTCAAATAAAAATAACTCGGTTATTTTAGACTTATTTGAAAAAGGGTAAAGAGAAAGTATGTTTCTTTTATCAAGAACTACCAGCCATGAAAATATTTGCACTTGTTTAAAACTCATCCTGTTTTTTATAAAAATAATTTTAACTCTATTTCTCTAAAAAATCTTTATTAGGGAATATACAGGGTGAGTCTTAAAGAAATGCAAATATTTTCAGAGCTGTTAGATCTCCATAAAAGATACATATTTTTTTTCTTTGCCGTTTTTCAAATAAATCCAAAATAACTCAGCTATTTTATTTTGAAAATAAAAAAAAAACGTATTTTTTGTTTAAATTTTGAGAAGCACTGGAGGTTTTCTGGGATTTCTTTCTTGTAAATTTAATATACCAACTATGTTGCCATATTATCAAGAAATTATGTTTTTTAACTAAAATCTAAAAAAATCCAAATTTAAAAAAAAACATAGACGTGTTTCTGCAGTCGAAATATACCTCTATATATACAAATACTTATAGTCTAAACGCATATGGTAAAATAATAAAACTTTTCAACTCTAGCAGCACGGTTTTCTTTACATTTTCATGCAAAAATCGGGAAAATCGTGAGCTAATTTAACACACTATTTGCAATTAAAACAATAATTTTGAGCATATAAGGAACTTTTTATACATATCATATTTATTTATGTGAATAGTTTATAAACACGAGCACCTTAACTAAAACGGCAACATTCAGTATGTTTCGACAAAAAAAGCTTTTATACAAATATGGTTTATTATGTATATTGGCTGGCAATAGTTTTTAGGGATCATTTTTTTTATTTTTATTATTTAATAAATTATAGAGGGAAAATCTTTTTGAATGATGATCTATGAAAAATGAGAGTCCTTACATGATTTTTTTGGAAAATTTGGTATTTTTCGAAAAGAAAATTGTAAAAATGTTTTTAGTTAAAACATAATACGGCAACATAGGGAATAGATTAAATTTACAAGAAAGAAAACTCAGTGGTTTTTAATTTTCAAATTAAAATAACTTGGTTATTTTAGACTTATTTAAAAAACGGCAAAGAGAAAATATGTTTCTTTTATCGAGAACTACCAGAAAATATTTGCACTTACTTAAGACTCAACCTGTATATTATTATATCTACATCTTTAAAAAAAACATTTATTAGGAACGTACTTAATAGATATGGTAAAATAATGAAACTTTTCGACCATGACTGCATTTCGACTGTTGTATAAGTTGCAAATTAAAAGCTATTCTTGGTATTGCTTTTTGTGCAAGATCAAGCCGAGTCTCGCTCATCATATATTATTTTAAAATCGATTCATATTAAATAGTTATTTCATTTTCTTCTATTGGAAAATCATCTGCCGAAGACTTACCTTCAACAATCAACCCACACACCGTTCGACCTCATTCAAATTTGCATATACGAAGTCCAAAACGCAAAAGTTCCTCCACAACGCGCGCGAGAATCCAATCTTTGGCGCGGTCCTTCGAACGGCGCGCCACAAAAACAAACAAAAGACGGTCGTCGTCGCCGTGCGCTCGGCCGACTCTGATTCTACTTGATTAAATCGCGGGCGTGCCGCGATTCCGCTCGATCGCACCTTAATTACTCGTTAGGCCCTGGTCCAGCGACCTCACCGAACACGTGCTTCCCAACACTATAGACCCGCCAGAAATCTATGTGCTTTACCACGCGAAGTGTACAGAAGACTGGCATTAACGGCACGTCACTCCGTTGTTCAAGGGTGACTTGATCCTAGGTACACAAGGGAGTGGTTTAAAAATGGCCACGCCCCCTGCAGCGCGTCGCTTTGCCTCATAACGGCTGTAATTGTCGGGACGTATGTATATCTGTATACGAAGACGGTTTTGTCGTAACGGACGTACATATCGATAATCTTGGAGATTTGAGAAAACGACTAGAGGAAACAAACTTAACGACGTTCAAGAGATTGTACTCGTTCAATTAGTTACTTGGAACTATAGGGATGTATTGTGCGAACGCAGCTTTAAAGACTAGTTGTCTAAATTAAAAAAGGAAGATTGTAAAGCAAATAAAACACTTGGGAAAACTAAGAAACAAATATTGGAGTCGATGATATCGAGTCCCGAGGTGTGACATATAATTTGTTAGAGATGCGACGGCGACGGGAAGTTTTCTAAATGTACTAAAGCTTCAAATAGAAATGTACTAAGTTTGTAACACTTAATACAATGTAGAGATTCAATCAACGGCGGATGATTAGGGTTACCAGTCGTCCGGATTTTCACTACATCCGGTTGGGTCCAGGCGGATTTTTCAGAAGCGTCCGGATTTTACTGTTCTATTAAGGAATGTCGCAATAATGCAAAATAATATATTAGTTTTAGTAAAAATTTAGTTGCTTAAAAAAAATCCTCGATAAATACAGCAGTGTAAATTCGTGATTTTACTTCGTAAGTTTTAAGTTTTGAAAGTTATAAATGTATTTTTAGCCGACCATACCAATAGGTATGGTAGGCTATTAGGATCGACAAAAAAAGCTTTTTTAATTTCACTCAAAATGAGTTATTTGGGTCATAAATGACCTAAATACAAAATATTTCCATGGTATCTGTCTGTCTGTCCGTCTGTAACACGATAACTCAAAAACCGCTGAACCGATTTTAACCAAATTCGGCACAAAAAGACTGTGGCACCCGAGAATCTGGCCATTAGTTTTTGGTGGGGGTGGGGGGGGTTGGTAAGGGGGTATGGGAGGGGGTTAAAAATTTTAAAAAATCGTAACTCCAAAATTACAGTAGCTAGCGAAACGCGGTTTTCAAATTAAGATTAGGAATAATATTTGTAACAAAATTTGTAATAACATCAATATCAGTCAAAGTCGCAGTTTTCTAGATATTAACATATTTTAGTATGGGCGGCTATACGTGCCTCCCGGCGCCAATTTATTTTCAAACGTCACAAACGTATTAATTTTTGCGATTGCCCAAATTTTGCATGATTGAAAACATAAAAAAGTCATTTTAACGCCTAGGCATAAAAGTAAAGCACTTTTACGCCTAAGCACAAAAGTACTAATATACAGGGTTGTTCACCACATACGACACGGAGTATTGTAGCTAAACGATGAGATTTTTGCAAATTGTAAGTTTGGGGTTCGTTCAAGGACTATTAGAGCTACAATTTAAAAATATTTTTACAAGATACAGAGTGTCCAAAATAAATAAAAAATATCAAAGTTGTATTTTCTTAAATGGAACACCCTGTATATTATTACATTTTTAGTTTCTACGATTAAAATAAAGGTAAATTTTATTAAGGTTTATTATACATAAACCTTACCGTTTTTGAAATATTTTCAATTTTGTGAAATTGCAGTAAAAATTTTAAAGCTTCATTTCTCCAAGGGTATCAATGTTTTTAGTACTAAATATTTAATGAAGTTTATTTATTGATCAGTTATTGTGTTGCAATAATAAAAATAATACTACCTTATACAGAGTGTCTAAAAATTTATTTTAAATAATTATTAGCTTCAAACGGCAATAACTTCTTTAATTTAAATAGAATGCCCTGTATATTTTAAGAGAATCAGATGCACAATTAAATTGTCTATCAAATTGTATTATACCATTTTTTACCTATCCCTTCAAGTTTTCGTAGAAAATGCATTTCCTTATAATTTACACCTAATTTATCAATATATCCATGGAATATTGACATTTTAGATTGTTTTTAAAGCAACAAATGTACAAAATGTACAGACTAGCCCATTTGTATGCTACTAGCCCATTTGTATGCAAAAAGAATACTATTTAAATCTTTATAAAAGAGTATACCATTAATTAAATATAACACCATTATTTCCGCCCATATACTAATTAATGACATACTTAATTGTGTTCGTTAATAAATTATAGATAAATGTGAATTTTTGACTCAGAAATCAATATAATAATAAGTTATCAAATTAAAGTCTTTGTTGTTATAAATAATAATTTTTTAAAAAATGAAATATCATTTTTAAGGTGTCACTTTTTATCACATTGTCTAATGCCCATACAAAATTCAGTTTTTTAGTATTTGGAGCAATTATTATTAATCAATGCAAACAGTCAGTTAATGTAGTTTGAATACTGGAATCATATTAATTGGTCCTCTTTAACAAATATTTAAACAGTTTTTTTTTATTTTTTAATGAAATAAACGAATTATATCGACAATATTAGTATCTGTACTCTTTAAAATTTGGTACATCTTTAAAAATAATCTAAAATGTCAATAGTCCATGGGTATATTGATAAATAAGTTCTAAATTACAAGAAAATGCATTTTCTACGGAAACTTAAAGAGATAGGTAAAAAATGGTATAATATAATTTGATAGACAATTAAATTGTGCATCTGATTCTCGTAAAATATACAGGGTGTTCCATTTAAATTAGACAAGTTATTGCCGTTTGAAGCTAATAATTATTTAAAATAAATTTTTATACACTCTGTATAAGATAGTATTATTTTTATTATTGCAACACAATAACTGATCAGTAAATAAACTTCAGTAAATATTTAGTATTAAAAACTTTGATACCCTTGGAGAAATGAAGCCTTAAAATTTTTACTGCAATTTCACACAATTGAAAATATTTCAAAAACGGTAAGGTTTAAGTATAATAAATCTTAATCAAATTTACCTTTATTTTAATCGTAGAAACTAAAAATGTAATAATATACAGGGTGTTCCATTTAAAAAAATACAACTTTGATATTTTTTACTTATTTGGGACACTCTGTATCTTGTAAAATTATTTTTAAATTGTACCTCTAATAGTCCTTCATCGAACCCAAAACTTAGAATTTGTAAAAATCTCATCGTTTAGCTACAATACTCCGTGTCGTATGTGGTGAACAACCCTGTATATTAGTAAACTGACATAAAGAGTCAAATTCAAAAAGCATAAATAATCAAATATATAAAATAATATAATAGTCAAATAATAATATATATAATAGTCAAATTAATAAAAGCATAATTTCTCGATACATAATTACCTCCAAGATATTCCTTTTAAATCTTTTTATTATTTGGAACGTTTGAAATTATTTAAAAAATTATTTGTGGCGTTTGGAAAAAAATGTGTGCCTCGCTTCTATGCCAAACGTACAGCGTCGCTACAAAAAGTATCATTTTTACTCCGAATAAAACAATATACCTACTATTTTTGCTCTTATATCGCTAAAAAGTTATGACGTCCGGATTTTGTTAGGATTTTTGGGAAGGCTTGCCCGGGGTGGACAAGATTTCATCTGATAAACCTACAGATGGTAGAATTTTCATGTACTATACAGAGTGGTCTGAATTGTATTCGGGAAACTTCAACGGTATATTCTACAGATAAAAATAAGTAAAAAAGTTATATAAATTTATGTCCTATAATACTTCGTTTCGGAGATGCAGAATGTAGAAGTTTTATTTTTATTTCCATTTTTTCCAAATAATTTTTGAGCTTACCCCAATATTTGGAAGAACATTTATGTCTGAGTCTTTTTTAACATGAGAAATTCGATTTCGATGTCAGTTTGACACTTACTTGTAGAGGGCGCCACCTACATACTTTTAGTTGTTTTAAATAATAATAACTTTTCGTCCGTACCTGTATTACACTATTAAGCGAAAAAATACTCTTGATAAAAATCGTTACGAGTAATGGTTCTGAAGGTATTTTGAATCAAATTAGTCAATGCATGCCATAATAATTGACGAAAATTATCCATGTTATCTGGATTGTTATTAGTTAGAAATAATAAATTTGAAATATTATTGTGCCAAACGTTCAACAGAAACTGTTTTATCGTATATTTTTCTAGAAAAAATCATTATTAGTTTAAAAATTTAAGAGTTCGCAAATTTATCATTTCAGTTAAATAATTATCTTGACAACCTATATATTTTTGTCACTAATGACATGTATTGACTATTTCCATTCAAAATATCTTGAAAACGGTTGCTCGTATCCCGATTTTTACCAAGAGACAATTTTTACATTAAAAATTACGTAACTTTATATTTTTTTACTCAGTATAGTTTTATACAGGTACGGGCGAAAAGTTTTTGCTCTTCAAATCAGTTAAAAAACACATAGGTTGTGCCCCTTACAAGTAGGAGTCATATTAACATCGAAATTGAATTTTTCATGTTAAAAAACACTCAGGCACTAATTTTTACCCAAATATCGATGTTATTTCAGAAATTATTTGAAGAAACCGAAATAAAAATGAAACTTCTACACCCTGTATCTCCGAAACGAAGTATTTTAGGACACAACTTTATAGGAACTTTTATACTTACTTATTTTTATCAGCAGAATATGCTGCCGAAGTTTCTAGAATACAATTTGGACCACCCTGTATTGTTTTCAATTAGGCAACTATATAATCGGCCGACTCAAAATTACATGGCAGCGCCCAGTCTAAAATTTTTCGATAATATAAGACAAAATTAATAAAAAAATTAAAAGCAAAATTAATTTTAAAAATGTTTCACATATTAATATGAAGATAAATCGCATTTTTTTTCTGATCTTGAGATGTTTCTGATCTTCCTTATAAATTCTAAATTCTTCTTTTTTTTCTCATTTCAGATGTGAGTAGCAGTATTATATGTATATCTTCTTTGACTTGAACACTACCTAAGGGATCCTTGTCATTGACCATTAAAGCAATAATT